TCCAGCTCTGGAGCCCTCAGCACAGGAAGGACATGGAAGTGTTGGAGTGGGGCCAGAGGAGGGCTACTAAAATGATCTGAGGGCTGGAGCCCCTCTGCTATGAGGCCAGGCTGGGAGAGTTGGAGTTGTCCAGCCTGGAGAAGGCCGCGGGCAGACCTGATTGCGGCCATTCAGTGCTTAAAGGGGGCCTCTAGGAAAGATGGGGAAAGTCTTTTTAGTAGGGCCAGCTGGGACAGGACAAGGGGGGATGGTTTTAAACTAAACCAGGGTAGGTAGGTTTAGAAATTCTTTACAGTGAGGGTGGTGAAACACTGGAATGGGTTACCCAGAGAGGTGGTGGAGGCCCCATCCCTGGGAACATTCAAGGCCAGGTTGGATGGGGTTCTGAGCAAGCTGTTCTGGTTAAAGGTGTCCCTGCTCCCTGCAGAGGGGGTTGGACTGGGTGACTTCTAATGTCCTTTCCACCCCAAACCATTCGATGATTTTAAGAGCTCCTTGTTACAGTTGGTTGCTCCTGCCTGTGCATTAGGCCCTTGCGGGGTATGATTTCATGTGGGGTTTCAGGATCGTGCTTTAGCCTTCCCCTCTCTTGGCCAAACTGATCCACGCGTGGTGTCCCCAGTGGGGACAGCAAATCCCGCCCAGGGGATCTCCGAGGTGGATATCGGAGCCCGGCATCTCTGGTCAAGCTGTGCAACTGCTGAACAGGCTCCGGAGGTATCAGCAGCCTCAAATGGAGCCTGGAATAGCAGTGGCCTGAGAGAGGAGCATTTGTTGAGAAGGTGATCTGAAAACCCACCCTGATGTGCTCTGGAGCAGAGTCATGCTGTTGAATCCGCAGGAGCTGGGGGCTGAATCCCTCCATGCATCCACCGCCTGTGCCTGAGGCAGGGCTGGTGGCTCCTTGTTGCAGACGAGGGGTCACGTAGGCACCCGGAGAGACCAAGCACCCTCTGAGGATTTTTTCAAACCCCTGCCTGGAAGCTGCCAGCTGGGGACATGGTTGAGGCCAGTCCCTCCTTTGTTGCTCTGACCAGGTCACCTTGGTCCCCCAAAGGAGAAGAGGTTTGGTGATGCCAGGTTTTACAGACTTTCTGCAGTGTCTGTCTCTCTGCCTCCTTCCCCTGCTCTCCTTCTCGGTCTCCCATGCCCCAATACCTGTATCTCTCTGTCCCCTCTCTGTGCTGCTGCCACCCACACCTTCACGACCCCTCCCTCACGGTCCTGCCCCCGGCCCGTCACCCCTCTCACACTCTCTCCTTTCTCATTTTTGCAGGGGCTGCCATGGAAGGGCAGCCGTGTCCCCCAGCCTCTGAGCCCCCCTTTTCCCAGAGGCTCTCCCCCCTTTCCGAAGGAGATGAGCTTGAAGGTGAAGAAGAGCAGGAGGAGGACACAACCGGGGCGCAGCCAAGAGAAGAGCTGGGGGAAGGCTCCCCGGAGCGGTTGGGGCAAGTTTCTCCACGCCGCTCGGGACGGTGCTGCCGCGGGCAGGGCTCTCTTGCCCCTCGGGGTGCAGGCAGGCCCTGCCAGAAGACTGGTGAGGATGAGGGGGCTTCCCCGTGCCACCAGGCGCTGGGGGAGCTGCGGCCGTGCCGGCGGAAGCACCGCTTGTGCCTGAAGCCTGAGACAAGCCGGGTACCCGCATCCCCGGGACGGGGGGAGAGCGTCGAAGAGCCAGGGCCCTCCCGGGGAAAAAGGCTGCGGTTGATCTGGGGCCGGATGGGTGACTTCAGACAGAAGGAGATGGAGAATGGGCTGGAGGAGGTGCCGCGGAGCAGCGAGGAAGAGGAGGAGGAGAGACTGTCTCGGTCCTGCTCCCCTGAGCTGCCCCTTTCTGACGATGCCCGTTCGAAGCCGGACTTTGTACAGCTGATCGACGAGCGTGGCATCTACTCCACCGCCAAGCTGGTGCTGGGGAGCGCGGTGGGCGAGCTGGAGGAGGCGGCAGCGGGGCTGCCGGCCCACCCAAAGCGTGGAGCAAGCGGCATCAGCGAGCTGGAGATCCGTGAGGTGATCGTGGATGAGAAGCCCTTCCAGTGTGGAGTCTGCGAGAAGGCCTTCAAGCGGGCCTGGGAGCTCTTCAGCCACGAGGTGGTACACAACGAGGAGCGCCCCTTCCGCTGCGACCTCTGCCAGGCCTCCTTCAAGCGCCACTCAGACTTCAAAAGCCACCGGCTAGTCCACACGGAGGAGCGACCCTTCCGCTGCGAGCTCTGCGGCAAGCGCTTCAAGCGCTCCTCCAACCTCCAAGAGCACCGGCGCATCCACAGCGGCGAGCGGCCCTTCCGCTGCCCCCGCTGCGCCAAGAGCTTCAAGACCCCCTACGAGCTGCAGCGCCACGCGCTCACCCACTGCGCCGAGAAACCCTTCAAGTGTGCCGACTGCGGGAAGGACTTCCCCACCTCCAACGCTCTCCTCCTCCACCAGCGCCAGCACTGCGATGACAAACCCCACGTCTGCGGGGTCTGCGGTAAGAAGTTCACCTACGGGCACAGCCTCAAGGTGCACGAGCGGGTGCACACGGGCGACCGCCCCTTCATCTGCCCGCTCTGCGGCAAGGGCTTCAAGCAATCCAACGCCCTCTCCTCCCACGAGCGGGTGCACACCGGCGAGCGCCCTTTCGTCTGCAAAACCTGCGGCAAGGCCTTCAAGCAGTCGTCCTACCTGGTGATCCACGAGCGGGCGCACACGGGGGAACGCCCTTACAAGTGCGAGGTGTGCGGGAAGGCCTTCGCCCGGCCCTCCTTGCTCCTCCAGCACCACCGCGTGCACAGCCAGGAGCGGCCCTACAAGTGCAGCTTCTGCCACAAGTTCTTCAAGGACCTGGCCTACCTGGCCGTGCACGAGAAGGTGCACACGGGCGAGACCCCCTACAAGTGCAGTGTCTGTGACAAGGGCTTCGCTCACCCCTCCAACCTGCTGCAGCACCAGCGCGTGCACCGCGACGGCTGAGCCCCGGCGCGGCGAGCGCAGCCATGGTGTTGCCAGGCCGCGGCGGCTGGAGGCATGCCGCCACCAACAGCAGACGAACGCCAGGCTGGGAGACCCCATACGTCTGCCCGAGGATCATCGTGGACCTCCGCAAACCTGCGGAATTTCTCCTGAGCTCCGGCCCTTTGCCAAACCTGGACCTGTGCCGTTGTCTCTTCCTCCCTTTGTGGGGGGTGATCCCAGCCGGACCCTCCCCGAGCCCGTGAGCCAGGGTGGCTGCAAGCTCCTGGCAGGCCTGCCGTGGCTCGTGGCATGCTGTGGCTTGTGGCTCATGGCCAGTGGGCAGGCAGGAGCCCTCTTCTTTGCTCTCGTGTGAGGAGGAGGGCTGAGACCCCCCCTTTAAGTCATCATCCCAAGACCCCCTCCCCAGTCATCCCAGTGAGCGTGGCTCAGCCTGGGATGGGGGCTCCCAGGGAGTCAGCGCACGCTGTTGCCTGCAGGAGGGGACAGACCTGCCCGGTTTTTGGGAAGGAGGTACGAAGTCGGGACGGGCAGTGGAAAGGATTATGGGGAAGAGCAAGGAGCAGGCACCTCCTGTTCCCCCTGAAGCCTTTTGTGGTTCAAGTGTCCCGTCCATATCTCATGCTGCTGCTGCTAATGACCCCGTTAATTGCCCTCTTTTTTTTTTCTGCCCTTGAGCGCTGGTGGGGCTCGTAGGGAGCAGAAGAAAGGGGGGGACGCACACGCTGCTGCCGTCCACTTTGGGAGTCTCAGCAAGCGACGCCTGGCGCTGTAAGACCTTCTCCAGCCGCTCCTGGGACTTTCCAGGCAGGAACCTGGATGGGCAAGCAAGACACAAACAGCCCTCTACATCATCCTCCTCTTCCTCTTTCACTTCCCGGAGCTACCCCTGTGTTGCTGCCGGCGCCTGGATTTGTCCCCCCTTCGGCTGATGGCTGCTGGGCAGAGGGTGGCACATGGACCTTTGATTGTGAGGGCAAGACAGGAGCCCTGTTCTTGCCCGCGCTGGTGCCCTTGTGCTGTCCCTTGGACTCCTGGAGATCCCAGATCCCACCCCGTCCCCCCATTTCGTACGGTCCCTGTAGCGCTGGGAACAGGGCGGGGGGTGGGATGTGCGCGCTCCTCGGCGCTCTGCACACTAATTACAGGATGGTTATTTAACGACAGCTCTGTCTCATTGTCTCCTCTAGCTCGCAGCCATGTCTGGCTGAGTCTTGCCGTGGGCTTTTGGTGCTGGTACGGTCCTTGGTGGTCTCGCCTCCTTCCCACCTTGTGCCTTCTCCCAGTGTCTTTCAGATGTGAGTGGGAGGGTCACCTGGCACGTGTTGCTGGCAGGCGCGTTAAGGAGAGACCCACCAAATCCCGGGTGCAAGGTGGATCTCACACAGCACTGCCTGTACCCTGCAGAAGTTGGGTGCAAGATGGGCCAGCAAGATGCGTTTGGGATTTGGGCTGGTGGATTTCCCTGCAAGGATGGTTGTGGGCCTCCTGGTTGTGTTGGTCTTTTCCCCTGCCCTGCAGCTTCCCAACTTCCTCCCATTTCAGCCCCTGAGACAGCACAGGAGCAGCTCTGGCCTCTTCCAAATGCTGTTCCCAGCTGGGGGTTGTGAGGCTGTGGTTTGGCTTCAGGGTTGAGCCAGTCCCTGAACATCTGTCCTCTGTAGGCCAACCGGTGGTGGACACATCTCAAGAGGTCCCCATCCTGGGATCTGCTGTGTCCGTGTGTCTCTGGGGAAGGGAGGTTGCACCTGCAGCCCTGGGAACAGACTGCCTGTGGTGATGGTGGTCCTTCACCCTTTCAGGCATGGTGAGATGCTGGAGGTGGTGTATTGACCATGAAGCACCCATATGATGTGTATGGTAGTGGTGGGGGCCCCTTCACCCCAACCCCAGAGCAGAGGCAGCTCCCCTTAGGCCATATCCCACCCAAATTCACCCTCTCCTTTAACTCATGGCCCTCGGCAGAGGGGGAGATTCTCGTAAAAGAGGGAAAACTTGGACATGTAGGATTTGGTGGTATATGTACGTCACTCCAGGTCTCTTCCGTGTCACATTTTTGCCTCTGCAGGTCTCACAGGCCTGAAGGCACCTCTAGTGAGGCACATGGCCTGTGTAGGAGCAGCCCAATCAAGTGCTCCAAATGGTTGATGGAGATCTGGGGTTGCGTTTAACTGCTGAGGCCATCAGAGGTGATGGTGCGGTACTCAGTTGGCCTTCAGCTCCTCTTCCAGGAGTGCTTGCATCTCTTACGGACCATACGTCCCATATGCCAGCCCCCCCGTGAGTGTTTGTGGTGACTGAGAGCATCTCAGGTGGCACTAGGTAGGTGGTAGCTAGACTCTCTGTGTTCTTCTAGTTGGACAAGTCCCAGCCTTTGATGGGCATCCTGGCCTGTGGGATCTCCAGCCTTTGGCATCCCAGAGACCCAAGGGAGGTTCACCTTCCTGATCTGCATTTTGGATGGGGAGAGAGGACCATCTCTGGTGGTTCAAGCCCCAGGGTGGCTGCTCCCAGAGATGCCCATCTCCAAATTAAGGCTTTTCCCATGTGCTGGGCTCAACATGTTGTTGTGTGACCAATGGGTAAGGTCACTCAGCGATGACCTTATGACCAGCACCAGCTTGGTAGTTGGCAAGGAAAGGGATGGCCTTGCTGCTGGAGGAAATTATTTCAGGTTTTGTGCTGCCTGGATGTCCTTCAGCCCCCCTGCTCCCCTCTCAGGTGTGGTCTGGGGCAGGGGGGGGATGATCTCATGCTAGTGTTGCCAGGTCACTCAGCGATGACCTTATGACCAGCACCAGCTTGGTAGTTGGCAAGGAAAGGGATGGCCTTGCTGCTGGAGGAAATTATTTCAGGTTTTGTGCTGCCTGGATGTCCTTCAGCCCCCCTGCTCCCCTCTCAGGTGTGGTCTGGGGCAGGGGGGGATGATCTCATGCTAGTGTTGCCCAGCTTTTGCAACCCATCTTGAGAGGTTTCCTCCAGCCCCTGGAGAGCTCCTGCAGTTTCTCAGGTGGGATCTAGGGGACGGCTTCACCTGGGGTGCATGGAGGGGCTTTCAGTTTTATTTCTGAATGTGATGGACTCCGAGCAGCTGATTTTGCTCCTAATTTTGGGACCTTGTTCTCCAACCCTTCTGAAGTGTCAGAGGAAAAAAGGAGAGACATGGAGAAACCTTGTTCTGCACCTTTCCCAGTTTGGGGATGTCCTTCATCCCTGCAGGAGGTGGAGGGAGGACTGGGCACAATGTACCTGTGTTTCCTTCCAGCAAGGAAAGCATCAGTTGCCTTGGTAGACACCATCTCCTGCTGTTGGAACCTCTTCTTACTGTGTCTCCGGACCTTACTCCCATCATCCTGGGTGCTTTGGGGGCACGGCCCTCAGTTTGGGAGCCTGACGGACCCCAGGGTGAGGCTGAGAGTGGGGTCCCTCTGTACTGGGATGCTTTTGGGTGTGGGATGGCAGCGGAGAACCCTGAGCTACCAGATGATTGCCCATCTGGTGCCCTTATGAACCTCAGCAGGGAGGTTCCCCATGGTTGGGTCCCCAAGGGATGGTTGCAGGTTGGGGGCACGAGGCAAGGAAAAAGGGGTTCTGTGGCTGCCCCAAAATGCATCCAGGGAGGACATCTGAGTATTTAGGGGTGTGGGGTAAAGCACTTTGCAGCTCTGGCACCTGGGTTGGTCAAATCGGGGGGGACACTGGCCAAGCTCTGGGGGAAGCCAGAGGAGCACAAAAGCAGCTCATGTCCACTCCCTCCGGCACTCAGACCCGTCATGCCTGGAGGGTTGGGGACCCCCTTTTAATTCATTTGCACCCTTCTTTCTGCTCCTTTAGCTCAGCACTAGCTGCCATGTTCATCAGGCTCCTCTGGAGCCACGGGGGCTGCCGGGAGGGTGCCAGGGTGGGTTAAATAAATGTCACCAGACTGGGAGACCCACCTTGGCCAGCTATTTTGGGGCTTGTGATATAAGTTATCAGTACCAGCTGGTTGCAAAGTGTCAGCTACCCATCAGCTCCTGCTTTGCAGTCTTCAGGAAAGTGGATTAGGGAAAAGTGAGGGGGGGGATAGGGGGGCAGCGGGAGCCCGGTGCGAGGGGCTGGCATCAGGGGTCAGGGTCTTCCTTTGTGAGCTGCGTCATCTCGGTGTCGGTGTCCTCAGGGGATTCTGTCTTGGTGGGGAGGTAGATGGCCCCCGTGGGCTGGAAGGACATCGCCGAAGTGCTGTGGTCCCTGGGGTGCCGGCGGGCTGTGAGGTGGAGAGGACACGGGGCTGGCACAGGGCTCTGGCAGCCACACGGCTGACCCCCATCTCCCCGTCCCCCTGGGTTTTGGGGTGGCCGAGGTGGGGTCTGTGACCTGGGGGACAGGGGGAGCACACAGGGATGGGACTGTCACCTCCAGCCTGGGCTGCTGCTATGCACTTCCTCTTCAGGTTAAGCCACAGCAGAACCCCACTCAGCACCATCACCAGGACCAGAAGCGCTATCAGCACCGAGCAGGATGGTGAAGTGCCTGGGGTTGGGGGGAAAGTGGACTTGGGATCCCATTGCCAGCCATCACCAGCAACAGCTTCCAAGGAAACCCAGCACTGAACGTGGCCTGAACTCGCCCCAGCAGCTCCGCTGGTGGTGGAGATGGGCTTTCCTTAATTAGGCTTCACGTTAAGACCCGCATCCCTCAGGGGAGGATGGGATGAGGCGGAGGGAGGTCAGAGTGACCTTTCATGTTTGTGCTGCTCTTAAAATCTGCATCAGCTCTTTGGTGCCTTGTCCTGCTTTGGATTTTCATAGAATCATAGAATCGTCTAGGTTGGAAAAGCCCTTGCAGATCACCAAGCCCAACCGTTAATCTAACCCTGCCATCCCACCACTAAACCCTACCCCTAAGCACCTCATCTCTCCTCCTTTTAAATACCTCCAGGGATGGGGACTCGACCCCTTCCCTGGGCAGCCCATTCCAGAGCCTGACAGCCCTTTCTGTGAAGAAATTTTTCCTGATGTCCAACCTAAACCTGCCCTGGCGCAACTTCAGACCATTCCCCCTCGTCCTATCACCCATTA